GACGGATACCGGCGCTATATAAATAAGTAAAATAACCATATTATTATTACTATTTATAATATTGATGGAGCAATAATTCTTTGCCACATATAAGCAGTGTTATAATTTTTCGCGTGAACAATCCCGTCTTGAAAACGTATTGGTACAATTCACAAATTAACATAATCTGTTAAAGCTATTTACATTTGAAGTAAAAATTGTTTTGTATTCACTGAACGGGATATCATAAATGAGTATCGTTGTTATTTGGATTTAAAGAGCAAACTGATTAGCATCGTTATGTGGATAATGGATATGTTGGCGTTATTTTCATGACGTTTTCTGCCCCACACTGTAAAAAAGAATTTGTTCATTGGTAATTTTTACGTATTTTTTCCATGTAGAATTTACTTGAAAACATTAGTTTTGCCACTTACGCACTAAATTTAAGTCTTGCTAACTCAAACTTTCAATTTGGTAGAATATACGTGGAATATTTAAGTAAAATCAAATACATAAGAACTTTAAGTAATTGCAGCTTGTATTAATTTAGTAATTTTAACTCAAAATTAGAAATTATACGTATTACTCAAACAATTTATGTTGATTGTTCTTATCTTTTTAAAGTAAGGACCGATGCAGTGCGTAATAGAAATATTTACATAATTTATGAATATTCATTAAGACCAAATTAAACTCTTTTTTAAATAAAACAATTATTTTTTGTGGTTGAATGAAAATTTAAGGACTTTAAAACATTTACTAATTCATTTAACATGGCTAAGCAAAGACAAGACAATTTTTAATTGTTACCTAGTTCAAAACAAATCAAAACTTGATATTTCAGGAAATTGTCAACCAATTTTCCTTTTAAGATGCTACGATCAAGTATATATAAAATTTGGAGCCTTTCAATAAGTGTCGAATTGAAGCGTAAGTAATAGTTTGTGATGGTGGTAGATATATATATATATATATATATATATATATATATATGTATATATATATATATATATGGTTAAATCTTAAATAGAAGTAGTGTTAGTGATTAGTGATTAATCTTAAATAGAAGTAGTGAATGATTAGTGGATGTTACTTGTTAGATTAGATGGGTACCAAATCGTGCAATATGTAATCCTATCATAGCTTTTTTTAATTATCTAAAATGATTACAATACTTAAATTATTTACGTTAATGTAACTCGATTTAACTGAGTAAAAATTTATTCAGCAAAATAAGTCAATTCTACTTAAGATGCCGTAGGTAATATTTACTTAATAAAAATAAGGCAATTCTTTTCCTCAATTTTATTGAGTTATTTCGACTATTATTTTTTTACAGTGCATACAGTAATCAGTATATTATACAAATCATCTTTCAACGGGAAAGCCATTGTTTGAAAAATTAACAAAAATGTGCATTGCGGCTTAATCAATATTTTCCTATTGGCATAAATGTTGAACTAGCTTAATGATATATGTTTATTTTGCAAACGAGTATTATGTTTGCCACATCTATCATTGCTGTGTCATATCTTTCTAAGTGTACTATGGAATCTTATTTTAACTGTTCTGTATATAAACGCTGTGCTTTTTGATGTAAATATGTTCATGTTTGTTCAGGGCCCATGGAGGACCACTACTTATTGGTGAATGGGCTACCCTGACAAAAGATTAGAAATAAATAAATAAATAAATTGTACAAAATGTCTACAACAAACTGCATAAATGTTACAAACCTCGGAGTGGGTACCCCCCCCCCCCCCAGCCCCGGTCCCGTGCAAGGAATAGACGCCCGACCAAATTTCTATAAACACACATCATTAATTGATATTCTGCTCGTTGTAACGGTTTTATCCCATAGTTTAGAAATCCCTAGACTTCGACAATAGTTATCTAATTCGATTTTATTTATCTGTTTTTTTTTGTTTGTTTTTTTTGTTTGTCTTTTTTTTTTGCATTTTTGGATTCATTGGGGTCCAAGCTATCAGAAATTGATGGGGTTCGAATTTTCCCGAAGACACCAAATTTCCCTATTGCGCTTTATATAAGCCATTTTGTCACCCAATATGGACCCCCCAGGAAGTGAAGGAGGGGTCTGAAAATTTGAACCCCATCATTTTGGGCCAATTGGGACCCTTTTGAAGCCAAAACAGCAACAACAACCAAAACAAACCAAAAAAAAATGGCAGAAAAATCCTATGGGATTACATACCGCACTATAGGGTGTCATGACATTGAATGAGAAACAATGAATTAAACATAACTTTCCCTTTCCCTGCAGGTGTTGTAAATGGCATGACGAATGTTATGACAGGTTGCTGGATTCGAAAGCTTGTAAGAACCTGGTTCATGTCTACATAAGACCATATAGATTCTGGCAACGTCGATGTTGGAAGAAAGATGCAGAGATCAAATGCTGTAAGTTATAACTTTTATTCTCATGAATGGTTTTTACTATTAACATGCTTACTTAGTCAATTTTCAGAAGTATACCCGCGAACTAGTAGTGGTTCTTTAAAAGGGGTTTGGGGCTGCTTAAACCGTCACCCCTCAAATAAAAAGAAGAAGAAAGAGAATCGTTTCGTTCATGTAGAATAAATGCAGGAACCCCGAAACCCACTTCCCAACCTCCAAAGCCCCCTCCCTCCCCCCCCCCCCCCCCATTTATATGTATAGGATTAATTACTTATTAACATACACTTTTCAAATGTTCTGTTAGACTTACAACTTTGTATTACCCCCATGCAGGAGCCTATAACAAACACGCTATGATTAACATAATGCACCTTCATTCTCACTTCTACTTTGACTTAGTCCCTATGTTCACAATTAAAGGGGCACGTTCCCGCCAGTGTAGTTATCGGAACATGCCATCTGCGTAAGAGCCGTATTCTGTTGGTGTCAAGCGCCGTCCGCCAGCGCGTACGTGTTTTGAGCGCCCTCTGGAATACGGGGAACATGCCCCTTTAACTACAAGCAAACCAATTGATATTTTATGGACTTACACTTATCAAAATTAGCTATGTGTTGTTTTTATCATGTTTTGTCCTTGTATAACCGAAACTTACAATGTGTAACGTGAAATGTGAAATATGAAAATAAATTAAACTGAACTGAATTATATCACGTTTCATTACATTTGTAGCATTCAAACGTTTTTAACATTTTAGCAATAGTTCTCTAGCCATTTTTTTTTTGTGTGCATTATTTTGTTTACTTCTTTTCATTAGATTCCAAACGCTCTTGTTCTAAAGGACTGTGTCAGTGTGACCGAGAGGCGGCGCTCTGCTTTGCTCGTGCTAAATATAATGAAGAGCTCGAGGATTTTGATCGTGACAAGTGCAACCTTCCATGGGTGATGTCAGGTCCATGGTGATATCAAATGTCAATATTTAGTTTCAGATAATACTTTTTTTTCTCTCTTCTCTAGAGATATCTAGTTTGTATGTACTTATTGTGAAGAATAAGTTATTATTACAGTGGCGGATCCAGGGTCATATCCCAGATAGGGGTAGGGGTATTTACTTCATTTTTTTTTCTTCTTTTAAGTCCCATTTGCAGGCCAAAAAATGAAAAGGTTAAATTCCAACGGCATTTGAAAGACAATACTAATTTAGAACTTCCCTCAAAACGAAAGGGCTTGAAAATGATCCTTTTACTGAATGTACGTACGTTTTGTGATGCACAAAGATTCAATCAATATAATTTTGGCCATTACAAGTAGTGGGTTATTGATGTAGACAAATGCTCATGTACATGTTACAGCTCATTTTATGTATGTTATTACCAAAGAAGAAAAAAATATGTCAGTCAGTCACTTAATAGTACCCGACAGTGAAGTCTAAACGGGTTTCCTTTCATAATTTGAATACTAGGACACTGTTGATATTTGAATTTCACAGATAGGGCATACATGGCATATTCATAATTCCGGCAAAGTTCTACAGAATTTGATGTTGGCTGCAAGAGGGACATAGTGTGACAATAAATAAAGAGGGGAGGGGGTATAATCACATTTTTACGAGGGGCGGGGGTAAAATATTTGCATAAAAATGAGTTGACACGCAGACAGAAGGACATTAAAATATTAACATTTTATGAGGTTCTTGAAAAGGAAAAGGGGGTAGTAACTTCTTGGGGTACACATGACCGATTCTGTGCATATATCCTCCTTCAGTGTGCTGATTGGTTTAGTTTTCCAAGGTGGCACCTGCCCTACGCCCCCCCCCCCCACCCCCACCCCTCATGTTCCCCTGTATATCATGCCAGGCGCGTACGCAGGGGGGTGTTTGGGGGGTTAAACCCCCCCCCCCCCCTTTGGTATTTTTATGTGTGTAAACCCCCCTAAAAATCCCTAAACCCCCCCCCCCCCCCCCCCCTTTGGATTTTTTTTTTTTTTTTTTTTTTTTAAATTATAAAAAAAAAAAAAAAAAAAATTACCCCCATGGCTGACCAAAAAAAAGTGTCCTTTTACCCCCCCCCCCCCCCACTGAGCGACTTTTTGGCCGGCGATTTTCAAATTTTCCTGAGTCGTTGCGAAATTTTGGACCCGATTTTAAACCCCCCCCCCCCCCCCCCCCTTGAAAAAATTCTGCGTACGCCACTGTATCATGCATTGAAGTAAAGAGAGAGGGAACCGCCACAACTTATGATAGGACATGGAAAAGTTATTCGTGTATAATGAGTTGTACTCAATGAGCACTAATGCCGATTTCTACCTCTAGTTATATCTCGATTCAGAAAATATTCGGAACGACGATCAGCATAGATTCGAGGCAATTAATTTGTGTTCTGGTCAATATTTGTTCCTTGAGAGAAAGAGGAGAATACTCCGACCTCGGATATACATATAACAGGCACGTAGCCACTGGGGGGGGGGGGGGGGGGCACGGAGGGGGGGGGGCCAAAAAAAATCCAAGATCGATTGAACTTTTTTAGACCCCTTTTTTTACCTCGATCGATTACATGTATGTGCCCCCCCCCCCCCCAAACATCAAACTCTGGCTACGTGCCTGCTTTATAAATATATGTTAGTAAGTATGGTATGCTAATATCTTGTAGTTTGTATTGAGGCTTAATCTGTGATGGGCAATTAAGACATCTAGCCTATATAACGTAAGCACAAGGAGACGCGAGTATCGTCTAACCGTTTGATTTTCTATCATTACGATCATGACATATTATACTGCCAAATCTGTCCATTTATGTTTCCAGTTATGATCTCAAACCACAAACTTGTTTATTAAGAAATAAAAGAAGTTCGTGTCCTTTAATTAAAAAAGAACTGTACAAAGAGGCAATCTTGTTTTCCTCGTTACATTTACTTTTTTCGGAACTGTATAAAATCTTAACTTAGCAATAACAATATTCAATAAACAAACTTTTAGGAATATACATCTTCTGTATGTGGTGTTGCATTACTGATGAAGTTCCTCAGTAGACTTATATACAGATGTATAATTAGGAATGGTAGGTGCATGAATATGATAATAAACCTAAATGATTAAAAATTTAAATAATCTGCAACAATAAGCCTTTTTTGTTGATTTTCATGGGGTTTTTCTCTTCACTTTTTTTTTATATCGCGTCTGCGCAGATGATATCAACTATATGATTCAGAAGGAGGATGCGTGAACATTCTGTTTCCATAGCAACCTGATAGCCCTAAATGGACATTTGTAAAAATTGGATATGTGCCAGTGACGATGAAAGTCAGAGTTCAATGCGATGACGATCTCTCAAGAAAGGAAGTCGATTTATCATCAATGATCTCGTCCATGATTGGAGACATGAAAGGGCTTATAGACTGGGTGAGACGGAGTAAGGGATCTAGAACAAGAGTGTCAGCAAATAGCATACTGCATTGTCATGATTATTGTGAAAGAAAAGCGTATCAGCGAGAGAGAGAGAGAGGGGGAGAGAGAGAGACATATAGAGAGAGAGAGAGGAGGAGGAGAGAGAGAGAGAGAGGGGGAGAGAGAGAGACATATAGAGAGAGGGGGAGGGAGAGAGAGAGACAGAGAGAGAGAGAGACAGAGAGAGAGAGAGAGAGAGAGAGAGGATGGGAGAGAGCGAGAAGGAGATAATGAGAAAAGGTAGAAAGAATGAGAATGGGGAAAAGAATGATAGAGGAGAGAATGATAGAAGGATAAATATATAGAGAGAGAGCGAGAGAGAGAGAGAGAGAGAGAGAGAGAGGGGGGGAGAGAGAGAGGGTGAGAGAGGGAGGGAGAGGGATGGAGGAGAGACACACACACGCATACACAAAGAGGGGAAGAGGGGTGAGACAAAGAGAGGTAGTAAGTGGGAGAGAGAAAGAAATAAAGAGAGACAGCAATGCAAAGAAAAAGATAATAGAGGCTGAGACACAGGAGTAACAGTGAACATATTCTTGAAATATGAACAGATCGGTAGAAAGTCATTATCAAAATGGGCGAAAAAAGCTCAGGATAAGAGATTCATTATCAGGACAGTGATACTAAACATCATATTTCTTTTCACTTGTTTTCCTCCCTCTCTCTCTCTCCCTCTCTCGTCTCATTTCCCCCTTTCTCATTGTCTTCCTCGCTCTCTCTCGCTCTCTCTCTCTCTCTCTCTCTCTCTCCCTCCCCCCCCCCCCCCCCCCTCTGTCAATGTCTCCCTCTCACACACACTCTCTATTTCTATTTATCTCTCCCTATCTCGCGTTCCCCCATTTTCTAACTTTCTCCCTCTATCCCTCTCCCATCCTCCTCCCCCCCCCCCCCTCTCTCTCTCTCTCTCTCTCTCTCTCTCTCCCTTTCTCTCTTTATCTATCTATCTATCCCTTTCTCTTTACTCTTTCACTTAACTCTCTCCCTCTGATTTTCTTCTTCAATCAAATTTTCTCGGATTGAACAAATCAGGGGCGTTTTACAACAGCTTAAAAAGTCTTAACATTTTTCTCAAGGGTTGTCAACTGCAATGGCGTCAGTCATAAAAGGAAATATCGTCTGAAAGGAACATGATGTAAAACAGATTTTGTATCTACAATGTATATCTGATTCTTTTTATCTTAACGATATGTTTGAATAATCATGTGAGTAGATGTTACTTGGGACTCTCATTAAAAGGGACTGTATGTGTTATCAGCTCATAACAATATTGTTGAAAATGTAGATAATATTGATCGCAACCCCCACCCCTACAAGCAATATCTTGACAGACATGTAATATTCAATGAAGTAAAAAAAGGTAGAAATCTTTCAAACGAAACAACAAGGCAAATCAAATACATTTGAACTTCATTTCGCATATGAAGTTAAATATTCTGCTTTCCTGATATTTTGTGTCCTTTCCAATCAAGCAGTGAAGTTCATCCAAGAACGAAGGTAATTTGGCAATAAGCAGAGATCAAGACATCCAATCCAATCCTATTTAAATATATTGCGCCGTTGTTTTGTTTTTTGCTGCTAAGTGTTTTGAAAACAAGGAAATTAAATTAATATTCTTGATTTAGACCTAGAAATACACAGATTACCACCATAGCTACAAGCGAATTATCAAATATTGCGAAAAAAAACAAGGAATAATATTAAATAACGCGAAGTGAGCTACCCGAAACACACGCAGACGACAACATGCTATCGTGATCGTTGAGAGATATCAGTGTATCGCCTTTGTCATTGAACCGTTGAACAATCAGTACTCCTCTCCTCGAATCGTCTACTCCGAAATGGATCTAATAATGAACAGTTTCTTGACACTCATCATTATTAATGTGTGTCTTCTATTTGGAATTGGTCAAGCTGGTAAGTTTCGTTGGTATATTTTTTTTCTCTTGTTTATTAACCTTGCCAAAATTATTATATTGTCCTGTTTTAATGTTGTTGTATTGGGTACTGAAACGTATTCAATGTTTATTGATATGCAAAGTACAGATTTATTAACTAAATGGCAAAAACAACATTTTCAAAAATGTTGCCCTATGTTACCGTATTGGTAGCAATAAGAATTGTTGGTTTATATTTTAATTTGGAAAGAGAGAGGAGATTGAAAAATAGGTTCGTCTTTCTTGAATTTACACAGGTAAATAATAAAATGGTACACAAAGAGAAAAAACAATATAAATGCAGTAAATGTTTGTGATCTTTGGTACTTCCGAATTGTCTATGGAAAGATTACAACTTCACCCCTTCTTAAGGTTTAAACTCAGGTAATGTCCTAAAGAAGAGGGGGGTGGGTTACAACTGCACACTCGACCAAAAATGCTCTGTGGAATTTGATTATATTGGCCTTGCTGATGTAATGTTATTCATGATACGATTGACACTTCGATGTCGTCTGTATCCTACTTCATTGTGCTCATGATAAAAAGTATAGATCTAATACGACTACGACTGGTTATCAGGACGTCCAGAATAATTAGCAACAGCAGCAGCAGTAGTAGTAGTAGTAGTAGTAGTAGTAGTATTAGAAGTAGTAGTAGTAGTAGTAGTAGTAGTAGTAGTAGTAGTAGTAGTAGTAGTAGTAGTAGTAGAAGTAGTAGTAGTAGTAGTAGTAGTAGTAGCAGGTAGCAGTAGTAGTAGTATAGCAACAGTAGTAGTGAGTAGTAGCAGTATAGTAGCAGTAGTATAGTAAAGTAATAGAATACCTATTTAATGCTGTTACTATAATTGCTTCTCAGGTAGGTATATTACAACTATTTTACAACAAAATATTCCTCTCATATTGCAGATATCACTTATAAACGTCAAGGGTCAGTCTGTCTACGTCGATTTTATTTTCTTCATCGTTCTGAACTGTTTATATTTCCCTCTTTATATCCCCCGTACCGGCTTCCTTCTCATTTGATATATAGGTCTATTTTACTCTGACCTGTTTACGTTGTATCGTTGAGCGGCACATTATAGCGTTATCTCAAAAATCCTAGATTTACTTATTGTTTACAGTAGTTTACAACTATATCAGCTATTACATACTTTCCTGTTGATACAAACGTTAACTAATTCAGGTTTCCTATTCCCATTGTGAGCTTCCTCTTGTAATAAAAACTCTTTTCCCAAATCAGTAATTACCTAGAACTTACCACGAAAAAGTGTCAATAACGATCAGGCTACTACATGCTTTCGAGGGAATGCAAGAGGAAATTAGCAATAACCCTTAATTAACATTAAACTGAAGAATTCTACGTGCGTAGAAAGGTGCTATATAGAAGGACATGTACTATTAAGCATGAAAATCTGTAGAGTAACTCTAACTCTGGTCTAATCAGTTTTAGGACCCCTCCCCTCCCTCTTCCACTCTCTTGATAAAACTACGCCGATTTTTAATTTAACAATTGAAGTTATCGTGACAAAATCACATCTTGTTCAAGGCAAAATAGTCACATATCTCTATTCATTACTTTCTAATTTTCATAATAATAATAATAATAATAATAATAATAGCCTAATAATAGTCCACTCCAAATTTTATTAAACCGAAACGGAAATTCTTTTTGCCCAATTGATCGTGAGCCCGGCAGCCACTGAGCAGCGCCAGATCGACGTTGCTCTATCCCTTATCGTTGAACGCCAAACAAGGTAGCAACAACTCCCATCTTTTAACGTCTTTTGGTAAGGCACATTAAGTGTAATTATTGTGTGCGTTGCTGTTGACGCTAATTGTTGCTGAAGTTGGATATCGCCCACATTTGTGAACGTATTAGAAAACTTATCATTTGATGCATATTGTATCATACGACATAATCATTGTCAGATTGTCATAATCATTATCAGATTGTCTTAATCATTATCCCAACCAGCCTTGACCCTGATGATGACCTCAATCCCTCGTTCATTGTATCCATTCTCATATTATCTTATCACTCATTAAACATTGTTCAAGTTCAAGCCCTTAATTGATTGCATCCTGACGAGCTTAAATCCACTTATCTCGTCTCCTCCTATAACACATTTAATTTACTCATTTATTTGTTGACATGCTTGTGAATGAAATCGTGTTTAAATTGCCTGAGAGCACTCAGTGCATAGAATCTTAATAAACACATTCCTCAAACTTTCAGGAAAAAAATATCACTGAAGTAGTGATAGAGTTAAATAATTGTTTCTTTTCAATTCAGTGAAAATTCATTATCCCTATTCGTACAGCGGTATACAAAATATCCTAATACTAAAGAAATAGAATATTGTGATTATCTTGTCATTATTTATATTTTGTTGAATATTAAAAAAAATCGCTCTGCATAGAGCGACTACTACTACTACTATACTACTTCTACTACTACTACTACTACTACTTCTACTACTACTGCTACCACTTCTACTACTACTACTACTACTACTACTACTACTACTACTACTACTACTACTACTTCTTCTACTACTACTGCTACCACTTCTACTACTACTACTACTACTACTACTACTACTACTACTACTACTACTACTACTTCTTCTTCTTCTTCTTCCTCTACTACTACTACTACTACTAAGCCCTTGAAACCAGAGAGTAATTTCAAGTAAATTTACCGTCACCATCCATGTAGCAATCTTGCTTTCTACCATCTTTTTGAGCTTTCAGCACGTATTATAACAGTAAGTTTAAAGTACTGTATGGTTCGTTTATTATTTCGGTTCACCTATATGATCTTGCCCATGTCAGATGAGTCAAAGGGTTCTGCTTGTGGTGAGATTGTGTTTCATGGTAATATAATGTTACATTGATGTATAAATCCAGTGCCGTGATTCAAGCATTTAAAGAGACAACATTTGAATCACCCTCGCGGTTTTAGAATCTTTTCCGAACCCAGTAGAAATGAACGGAGTAAATATAAACTGTTCACTTTGATTCACCGAAAGAGAGCCCACGTGAGCCTTCTCACGGGGGCTCTTTTAGTACTGTTGGGGGCTCTTTTTTATACAAATATCCATTGAATTGGTACCTATGATACTCCTCAATTATTTGCTATTTCATCATTATCATTTCAATCAGCATTTTCTCTCTTACAAATTTACAAGCTACATAGCTGTTACTGGCCTGTGTATATAATATATACGCATACAACACTGATCTTTATGATGTCTTTAACGTGACATATCTTCTTCTCCCCTTGCAAACGAGAAAGAAAACAAGGTCATTAAAAGGGATTAAGCGACAAATAATGATTGTGATTCAAATTTATGCGAATATTTGTTTGAATAAGCACTGCTATTCACCCGAATCTTCTTTGTAAAAACAACTTTTACAAATCTCAGCCATGCTTACTGAGTTGAGACGTTCCAGTCAATGTAAAATACTCATTAAAGAATACACTTCTCCTAATCTGAAAGTGATCTTACAACACAGTGGCAGATTTGCATAGCTGAGATTTGTAAAAGTCGTTTTTACAAAGAAGATTCTGGTGAAAAGCATTGCTTAATCAAAACAAATCCTTGCATCAATTTGAATCACAATGATTATTTGTCGCATGATCCTTTTATTAAATAACCTTGTTTTCTTTTTTGTTTGCAGGGGGAGAAGAAGCTATGTCAAGTTAAGAAATCATAAAGATCAGTAATTGTATTATGCGTATATACATATGATACCAGAACAAAATAATTATCAGAATGTCATTATGGAATACCTCTATACAAATACCACATTGTCTTTAGCCCGTATCAGTATTAGTATGATCCAATATAAAGCTATTATTCTTTATTTAATTCAGTATAATGCTTTTCCTCAAAAATAGTTTTGCTATTTTTTTAGGGTTGAGACGCTAAGGAATGGTTTCAAATGTACATTACACGAACCCTGAACCATTGCAAAATGATGGTGGTTCTCTCTCTCTCTCTCTCTCTCTTTATTTTAATCATGCATTATCAACTACATATAAAGCAGCAACCAAAAACTTAGGGTTATCTGAGATAGGTGAAAGTAAGAGTTAAAAAGAAAGTCATGCTAAAACGGCGCTTCACTTCCCCCCCCCCTGAAAAAAAAATAGATTAGTAGTCCTCCTTTCCAGCATCCCCCCCCCCCCGCTTTAATATCACATTTTCACTTGGCAGCCCAAGGGGGCTGGGGGTGGGAGGAGGGGGTTAAACCCCCTACCCCCCTCCCCCCCCCCCCCCCGTAGATCTGCCCATGTTACCATATCATTCCACGACATCTTGGTCTTCCTCTTCTTCTCAATAGGGACTTTTAGATTTGCGTGGACGTGGACGTGTTACGTCCTTTTAAGGCACATTAAGGTTCATTATTTGCTGGTCATTTGAAATTACCAGATTTCAGCGGGTTAACGCTTTCACAACGAAAAACTTCTCCATGACCATCTTTCTGCCCTTGCGCGATCGTGATTTAATTCAACAGATAACAGCCAATGATGACGTCATAAGTGATAATAATCGCATTCATATATTTGTCATGCTTTATACAGGTTTACATTTTGAAATGAGATTAAACGGATGAGTGAAGATTATCATAGTTATTTTAGGAAAATGTACTTATGACGTCACTGATATTTGGCAACCCCATGACAGCTGGTCATATTTTAGACGATTATGACCGTTTATATTGTTTTTTGCTTGTTTATATTACCATATTTTGCAGTCGCTGTAATATGAGTTAAAAGCCGCATGCACTTCAAGCGCAGGCTTACGCTGCAATTCTTCTGCATTTGGTAGTCAGTCGTTCCCGGCATTTTGTTGCATAAATTGTGTTATTCATTGCGATTTGAAAAAAATATTATAATAATAACAATAAAAATGTTACTTATAAAGCGCTTACCACCGAAGTCTCTAAGCGCTAAAAAAAAACGTTGCGTTGGCCGGGAGTCGAACCCGGGTCAATTGCTTGGAAGGCAACTATGCTAACCGCTATACCACCAACGCTTCATATTACCACAATGTATCAAATATTCGTATTGTTACTGATTATTATTGTATGAAAAATTCAGAAATCGTTAAATAAAATAAAATAGAATAAAACTTATATCGCGGTTTGCAGACTTGTTCACAATCATATTTGCATGGTTTCCCCATAGGGATTTAAGATAACAACCATCAATTTCTATGTAGATGATATAAGATATCCTAAGCATTCACATTTCTTACCAGTTAGATAAAAAAAAACACCATCAAACCAACAAGCCATGCATTAAATCAAGCATTGTTAACTAAAAGCCATTGATATTTATTGTGGTAATTGTAATAGGCCTATAATTATTGTTAGAGTTTTATGTGTTCAAGCAAGATGGATCGGATTGGTTAGTCAGGCCGACATTGCGGCAAGCAAAATTATATATTTAAAAAAAAAGACATTGTATTCAAAATCTAAGCAATCTTGCACCGTAAAATAGAAATCTACCTGAGAAATTACTTTGATTTGATCACGGAATCTGTGGTAGGGTCCATGATTTGATCAATCGCTTTTGAGAGAGTGTGTTTTTCTTCTATATATAGTGATATTCTACCCTTCATTTTGAGGCAGTTTGGAATTTCTATGTAATAGCTTTATTTCCTCAATAACTGATATTACGGTCATAAAAGCTTTCAAAATTCCCTTCATGGCTACCGGTCATATCTTGTCTAACTTGTGACGTGGAGAATTATGACTTAAACAGTCCCTGGCTTATATCATTATAGACTAGATTATATGTCAGGCAAAGAAATATTTTCTTGTCCATGTCATTCATGCGTTGACTAGTAAGCTATGTGATATTAGGGACTTTTCGATTCTGCACGACGAGAACGCGGACTGCCCTTTTAAGGCAATGTGACGTCACTGCCAGTACCTTATAAGGGCGTCACATTGCCTTAAAAGGGCAGTCCACGTTCTCGTCGTGCAGAATCTAAAAGTCTCTAGTAATCTGAAGGAGACATGAAAATGTTCTTGAACTACTCCTGAACCCTTGCCTTCTCAGTGGTGTTATGTGTTTACATCACGCAAGATTCGTCTACATTTCCGCCAGAAATAGAATTTACTAATCCATTTTGATTTCCTCCAAGTCATGTTCACTCCTCTGTCTCCGTTCGTCTTATATTTTGTTGTATATGTGTCGGTCTGCCTGAAACCTCACCCCCCCCCCCCCCCCCCCGTCCTCTGGGCGCTCAGATCACACTCTCGCTTTCTCTCTCTCTCTTGGAAAAATCTTTAACAGTACCCAAAATCTGTTTTGGGGCGATCGAAAACATAAAAGAGAAATATAGAAGAGAAAAGAGAGAGAGACAGTCGGACACAGGCAGACAGACAGATGGAGAGATACGTATGCCACCACTGGGTGTAAACAAACAAATATTTTGTATAAAACCATCGTCTCCAGCCCCTATTCCCGATAAAGTACAGTATTAAAGAAACAAATTCTTACACCACCTACCCCTCCCCCCCCCCCCCTCTTTTTTTAACTGAGAAAGCATTGGGAAGGCCGGATGGATTCCTGAAATCATGTTCCCGTGTAACATTATACAATTATTTAAGCACAAAACATGGCTCTCCCTCTTTCAAACTACCCGGATCCGCCCCTGTTGTGATTCTACGATGTTGCCACAGAATCTTTCCTGCTCTTATAGATTGCAGGGTAGGTAGCTCTTCAAACTGGATCTCTACCTTTGAGGGTAATTTGAAGAGGAAGTTTCGTCTCATCTTGGAGGATGCTACCTATCATGTAGACTGATCAATGTCGTGCTAATGGGGGTTCTCCCGGGCGTTTCCCCCATCTCTGTCCAAACCATCTCAGTGTATAGTTGTGAAGAGAGAGACACTTCTTTGTTTTCAGTCTATCGGCGTAATAAGATGCATGCTTTAATATTCCCAGAAGCTCAAATGACGAACCTATTCCTCAACCGTTGGTGATAATCATATGCATGTACATAGTTGGAATCTACCTTGCTTGAATTAGTTGCTATGTCGGGAAAGCACAGATGAATCTGGATCGTCAAGATCTGTGTTTATAATTCATCTATTTGTATATTCTTCATATATCACGGTTCCGTATTCACATTCATATTCACGAGGCGATAGGGGCAGTGATTTTGCACAATATTTTTTTGTTAAAATTGTCTACAAGATCTCTTTAGTTTATTTTTCAGTATAAGCAACAATATGTTATGAAAAGATGGTCAGTGATGAATGATTCAAATATAAAATCTATATTTGTTAGATATTTTACATGGATTAACCATTGATTTTAAGATAGCGTGCATTAAAGCCCGTCTGCACTAGTTTGGCCAGGGGGATTAGAACTCCCTGCAAGGTCACTGGCAGGTGATTATCTCATCAAATCAGCTCTCAACTAACATAAGAAAAAAGGGATCATGGGGGACCAACAGGCACCGATTAGGGATTGTTTGCTATGTAGAGGGGTGCAGGTAGCTATGAGTATTACAGTGGGACTTTAAAGCCCATACATTAGTCTTCACTGACCCCGGTTGTATCTGTTTTTCCCTAATTGCCCTCCTTTATCCTTGCTTTAACCATGATCTGATACACATAAAATTCAAGTTCATTTCTTGTCAAATGAGATCATGGACAAATTACAACACACGTGTAAGAAAATGTGAGCACTACAGCATTATCAGGTTATGTCATTATATGCAAGGTGGATAAGTGGAAGTAAGCAGTGTAAACATAGGCCTAGCTTATTAAAAATAGTAAATGTTGTCTATGTACATTATTTATTTTCTATTTTTCTTCTCATTAGTCTTTTTAACATGAATGTTTCATTCTTCGATGAAGATTGTTCAGTTATCATCACCATCATCATCACTTTAACGATGTTTTTTCTTCAACATCACCCTCATTTCAAGAATAAACACAGTCGCGTTGATATTCATATATTATCATCTCTTTGGTCATTTTAAGGAATTCTCTATTCTTATCGATATCATTTCGAACAAACTCACTCAACCCTCTCATTTCGCAAAAAAAACCTCAAAAACAATAGCAACAACAGCAACCACAGCAACCACAACAGCAACAGCAACAACGAGAATAACAACAGTCACGTCTATGTTACGTGAGCTTAAAGATTAATCAGATCTTATTTACATAAGGTAGCCACATCAGTAATAATACTGCTCTTCCCGCAGGTCCTGCAATTATTATTACCCCGTCAATTGCCAGGTAGCCATTGACACCTGGGTGGAGAGTTGCAAATGTGGGTCTCGCCCAGTGGCGTTTTTCAAGGTTGGGGGGGGGGGGTTTAAAATCGGGTCCAAAATTTCGCAACGACTCAGGAAAATTTGAAAATCGCGCCGCCCAAAAAGTCGCTCAGTGGGGGGGGGGGGGGGGGGTAAGCGGACACTTTTTTTTGGGGGGGGGGGAGTCCAAAAAAAATCGCAACGACTCAGCCAGCCGAAAAGTCGCTCAGTGGGGGGGGGGGGTAAGCGGAAACTTTTTTTTTTTTTTTTTTTGGTCTCAAAATTTGAAAATTTGACATTTTGCTCCGTTGGGGGGGAGTAAGGTCACCTTTCTTAGGTCAGCCATGGGGGTAATTTTTTTTTTTTTAATAATTAAAAAAAAAAAAAATAGGGATTTCTTAGGGGGGTTTACACACATAAAAATACCAAAGGGGGGGTTTAACCCCCCCAAACACCCCCCCTGCGTACGCGCCTGGTCTCGCCAAAGGACGTAATAGTGCCGGCAGGGAATCGAACCCTAAAACCCTTGAATTGGGAGTCAAGTGATTGACCGACTGTATTTCGACACCTATATTCGTGTTTCAAAGAGCGCACAAGTTCATTCGCCACTTCATATTGTTGTTCTTTTATTTATTCATTTTATTTTTCAGACTTGGTCCACCGGAGAAGACCTCGTGCAATATGGCAGTTTTCATCGATGATCGAGTGCGCCACCGGTCGGCCAGCATTGCATTATAATAACTATGGGTGCTGGTGCGGATTAGGAGGAGGAGGAGAACCTGTTGATGAGGTGGATAAGTAAGTATTGTTACCATGGCAACGTTGTATCTTAGTCAACTTTGGCATGAGTTTTGTTATTGTCATGTTGATGTAGAAACTAAATGGTTCTTTGAAACCATGGCGTTAGGAACCTATAGGACTCGACACCATCAAATGGAAGGCCTACCCAGGTGTATGATGATGGAAAAGGCATCTTTTTTTCTTCGAATTCTTTCTTCTTCTTTTATTGTAAATTCACTTCTACTTTTGAGGGCAAATTTGTGTAACTTTGCGATAACTTTAAATCAACTTAAGTAAAATAAATTAAACAAATATATAGATCAATAAATAGATCAATACAACTCTAAGCAAGTTCAATACGCCTTTTCACATCCTATTCCATACAGGTGCTGTCGCTCCCACGATGAGTGTTACGATTATCTCACTGAAGAGGGTACATGTTCTATCCTCTCTCTCTACTTAACTTCATACCTCTATGAAAGAAGACACTGCCAGGAGATGGAGGAGCCTAGTATATCATGCGGTAAGATATGAACAGATCGCAAAGACTTTCGAAAAATCAACCAAAGGTAGTTTGTTTCGATAGCCTTGTCCGTTACCTTTTGATATCTAAGATGATTACAATTAGGGGAGGCGCGATATAGCTCAGTCGGTAGAGCAGTGGTCTCGTAATCCGGTGACCCGGGTTCGAAACCAAGGCGATGCGCCAGTGCCCTTTGGTAAGGCATTAATCCTCATTACCAGGTCCCTCGGAGAGGACCTTAAGCCGTCGGCTGTCTGGTTGCTTACTAACAAGCATTTATGCTCTCTTAGCAGTCAGGTAAAATAACAACCACCACCATTCAATGACTAGTTACGCAATCCGAACATGATTTGTATCGGCAGTACACTACTGTATTGGAATTGAAAGGTTGATTTCTCGAAAGTTCTTGCGATCGTCTTAATAATGACTTCTTCTCAAACTTTGTAGAGGGGACCAATTATGCCAAAATATTTTGCTCTTATATTTTCGGGTTCCATGTCGGCATTTTAATTTGTATCCAAAGTATCAGCTTTACAAATACTTCTGTGAAGATGAAAGAGACTTATCACTGACAAAGTGATTATCCCCATGATTTTCTTCAAATATATGATAAACTTATCCTATTGATATTAATATACCATTTTCTAATTTACAATCCTTTTTTTTTCCTTCGTACGTTTAACTTATTACTGAATTTTTAAATTTACTGTGTTGAATGCATTTTTATATGATACAACGTAAACCAAGTATTGTTAGTCTTTGGACTTTTTATTTGGTATATTTTTAATAAAACCGAATTGAATTTGAATTTGAATTTGAATTTGACTTGAAGTTTGCAGAAAGCCCAACCGAATAAGCCTATAAATATTATTGTGAAATAGAATGGAGGTCTGGCATTGGGGACGATGGATGTTCTCTGCGACTACATGGACCAGTACATCAGCCAAACAGAAATGAATAACGGGAGAAAGAAAAAAGTTTGCGTGCGTATTCTCTACACTGACAGCACGCCTAGCTATCCCTTCTCCCAAGTCCACGGGTCGTCATGAACCAACGAAATATGTAACTAAGGACCCCCCTTCCCCCCTCCCCCCCCCCCCCCACAAATACCACCACAACAGCTACGCTACAGCTTATTGGTTTTAACCATCACTATTGGGGCACAACTGCTCGCCCGTCTCCCCTTTAAGTGACATACTTTCAGTACTTAAACTGTGCCCCCCCCCTTTCCCTTTGCTTTTCAGCAAAGTTATAAATGTATTGCCCCCTTATTTACGAAAGCCTTGATCTACCCCTGTTGTACAATGATCTGTTATGTTTTTGTCTTCCACAACTACAGGGGAAGGATCTCCATGCCGAACTGGGTTGTGCGACTGCGACCGAGAGGCGGCGCTCTGCTTAGCTCATGCAAAGTACAACGATCATCGTCATAACTACGACAAAGACTTATGCATCCCATGATCAACACAAGCAAGTAAACCCTTGGAAATGGGCGATAAAACGCGGCTGCCGGTCTGATTTTCGATTGAACAATGCAGATTTGGGATGGAAATCATCAAATGGGAGAACATGCCGTCGATTCTAAATTGAAGATCATAAAATTGTCTTAATGCTTACTCTTGAAATTGTTCACTAAGGCTTATATCCCACGAAAGCAATTTACCACCTCACTAAAAGCCCTTTCCTACATTAAAATTATGTAATGTTGTACACAAGAGGTGGTTACCCCTTCATAATTATTATTATCTTCATACGTGAGCAGTACAAAACGGTGGATTTGGATGATGGGGCATCACCCCCCCCCCCCCCCAAAAAAAACAAAACAAAACAAAACATATACGTAGAAATGATGAACTTCCCAAGGAACTCACTCCAACTAAATCTTTCTTAAATATCTTATTTTTTTCTTCTTCGATGGCTTCAAAAGGGATGGGGCGTCTACCGGCTCTTTCCGAGTTGCATTCGCTACTGTGATTGACTAATAGCCCACAGTTACACCATGAGACCCGGCGCCAGACCGACATCAGACAGAACAAAAAATTACATTACTCCGAATGACCAAGAATCGATCGTTTATGTGTCGGTCTCAAGTCGGCCCTGCGGTGTGTCTTGGTCATGTGGTAAAACGATTTTTACTTTTACCGCTTTAATAATAATAATAATATTCCGCTTTTGTATAGCGCCCAATACATCCACCCAACGATGTGCCTGAGCGCCTCACAGATATATTATTACCCCGGTCATCGGATTCAGGCTTACCCGCACACAATGTATCCACATTCTCCACTCTCTGGGGAGCATTGCGGCAAGTCACCATTTTACAAGCTTTACCTATTAGGGTCCTGCATTTATTGCCTACTATTTTATCGAGTAACAATAGATCCAAAATTACTGGAAAACACTTCAATTTTGCATTCCAAAGTGATGGTCGATATAATTATAGGGCCTACTGATCTTAATCATTTTAACGTTTCACGGATAATGTACATTCTATAAAGTTTAGTCGTCAAGGCTTGTATATTCATAATTCTTCCGGTTTAGGCTAATACCTTATTTTGTCGGCGAAACGAGGAGATGGGAAAGAGAGAACCAATTTTAGAGAATAATCACAAAAATTAGGAAGGACTCCCCCCCCCCCCCCCCCAAAAAAAAAAAATATATATATATATATATATATATTTATATAGGTTGAAGGTTCATGGGAAAGGAATACCAAAAAGAGGAGAAATACATGTATAAGATGGTTATATAAAGGATGACCTTCGAATGACGGTTACGGGTATTTCGAGAACCCCAATGAATTTGGAGATTCTGTTTTTCTTCGTGAAACACTAATCGAAGACCGGGGGGGGGGTACTCAGATTTGGTTTTGACAGGGGTGTGCCAATGAAGCCTCGAAACTCCAACCAATTTTAATGGGTCATTTTGGCGGATTTTTTTTCTTCTTCAAACTAAAAGCCCATTTTCCAAAAATTTCGGGTGTTTGCAAGGCAAAAACCCTGGTTTTTTTGAAATTTTCAAAATTTTGAAAAAGTGGACCCATATTTAGGGTTTTTTGTTAAAAATAGGAACCATGTTTCGGGATTTTTTGTGAAAAAGTTACCCAATAGAGCGGCACACCCCCGTATGTCTTAATATGTGAGTCCCCTCCCCCCCCCCCCCCCCCTCCGGAATCGAAGTATATCATATGGAATATATTTCTTAACTGTTGTCTACAATTAACATGATAGTGTTGATATTTATAATTTTATATATATATATTAAAGATACCTTGTGGCTGTATAGTTTTATCACTATGATTCGGGTTGTTTATTATGTTTTGAAATGGAATACTTATCTGTAACTCAATATCATGTTAACATTTACATAATATGTCTTCCTAAATATAGAATCACGTTCAAGAATATGATAATGTTGATATCTATGATTTTATATATATCCATTAAAGATACCTCGTGGCTGTAAAGTTTTATCACTTTGATTCGGTTTGTTTATTATGTTTTGAAATGGAATACTCATCTGTAACTCAATATCATGTTAACATTTACATGACTCCCAAAATTTAGAATCACGTTCAACAATAAGAATTTTGTCTACATTTAACATGATAATGTTGTGATGTCTTTATTGTGTAGGCTTACTACTTGAACTTGTGCTTTTAAAGAGAGATTTATTTCCAAGCGGTTGGGACGCCTTTACTTTTGTTATCTTACTGTTCGAAATGACTTTGATTTATAAACTAAAAGGCTACAATGGTTAGATAATTTCTTTTAATCTCCTCGTGTATGTTTATTGTAGAATGGCGGTGTGATGTTTCAATATGTGTATGTTTTTTCGTTTGTTTGTTTGTTTATTCCAGTTATTGTTATATTTTGTCTTTGATTCTTGTTTGTTAGTTTGCATTTTGCTTTTGTTGTTATGCTTTGGTGTGTTTTTGTTTTGCATACTAAGAATGTTGTAAATATTATATGCATTATTGATGTTTGATGTTGATTCATCCATTTTTTTGTATCTCAATAAAACCATAATGATATTAACATTGTGTAACTATTTCATCATTTTTTCAATGAATTTACGAGTTTATGTTGATGTACCCTTTCTTGACCTAGCCTACATCTACAAACTATTTGGGGAGCGAAACAGCCCTCGAAATCCGGGGCATCGTAAAGCTACGAATTTACTATATATGATTGTGACTAAATATCATTGATGAACATATTTCTTGGGGGCCTTCCCGAAAGAGTCACCCCATCCTGCTCAATAGATGTAACAGCTTTAAGTTACTTAGACCATCTAAGATATTCACAAAAAGGTTGTAGCTCTTTCGTTGGGCCGTCAGGTTGCTCCCCCCCCCCCCCCCCTGCCTCCCCCGGAAGAAAAAATAGTCAATTTAACCCAAACTTGGTGGGAAGGAATCACAGGGACGCTATCTGTCCAAACCCGACGGTGGTTATGTTGAGACTGAAAACTTTTCCATGTGATAGTCTAAGTTGGTCTAACTTGTCAATCTTACAGGCTAAATGCGGTTACTACTTCGGAGCAGGTTCTTAGACCAATAACCGATTCTTGGCCCATTCCCATCATTCTTCAGTAGTCTTCCTGGTGACGTCATTCTATGACGTCAGTATGTAAGCGGCGTCTTATACACCCGTGTGTTAGCACACGTGAGCATTGTGGGTAAACAATTTGGGAGATACTTGAGACAGCAAACATTTATCCTGTTTTTCATTGTCAAAGATAACTGCGTCACACGACCAAAAGTAAATATCAAATCAGAATATATCTATAGAAACTGGGATATGATATATATGCTAACAAATATAAATGATCACATATGATTCATATATCTCCGAATGAACAGGATAAATAATAGTTCTGTCGCGCTTCTATTGGCAGAGTTTAGGAAGTCTGATTTCCTGGTTCGGTCATGGCTCTCCATCTTTAAAAACTTGTAAATAAATTCGTATTTGTGTTATGTTTTCATGGAGACTTTTCAAAACTGCATCATTACAATCTCCTATCCTAGATCCTTCGGCTATCGGTTAAATCTACCGCCCCCCCCCCCCCTCCCCCTCCACATAACAAGATTATTATTTTAGAGATATACATGTATCAAGATCCAGAATAAATCCACACACAAAAACAAGAATAAGTGTCAATGTAAAAGAACAGAAACGTACGCCCTATATTCAGATAATTAATCAAAGCATTTTGGGGTATATTGAAGCAAAATACATAACAACCAAAAATGAATAATCAGCAATACCGCATTTTTGGACGGTATGAAGTAACGAGGGCAATTTATCTTCTACTAAATATTATATACTGCACCTTGCATGCGTTTTAATTTCACTAGTTTATGGCAACTTGTATAGGGTAATCCATCATCCACAATCCTGCGTAGCGCAAAAGAATCTTATTGTGAGTTGATAAATGACAGGTTATTGTTGCATGTTTCAAGTCTTGAAAAGCGAGCCCATAGGTGTTTAAACGGATTTAGGAGGAAAGCAAACACTCGGGATGGAATATTTGCTCTCCTTTCCCCTCACACTGTTGTAAATAAAAAGTAGTTTGCTACAGGGAAAGAGATTAGTAAGTGTCGTAGATGATAGACACTCAACGCTTACGCCATTTCGCAGAGTATTTTCGATTTCATCAGGGGAAATTCATTTACAGAAAAGAAACTTATGACGACTTGTAAATACTAAAAAGGGGGAAATGATTACGACTTTATATCATGGATAGACATCTAGGTAAATGAGTGTATTGACGGTAGAAAATGATGAAAGTATAGAAGCGATCAATAAAATGTAAAGCGACTGTTTCTTCTTATTCCTCCTTCTTCTTCTATCTTTCTTTATTCCTTTCTTTCGTCATTCCTTTCTTTCTATCCTTCTTTCTTTCTTTCCTTTTGGTTATGTTGGAAGAAGAAGAGGACGAAACAAAGCGGGAAAAGGAGAATGGTAGAAGAAAAAAAGAAAAAGAAGAGAAAGGAGAAGAAGAAAAATTAGAAGTAGTAGTAGTAGTAGGTGTGTTAGTAGTGGTTGTTGTTGTTGTTATAATAGGGACTTTTAGATTCGCACGAAGACAATAGGTCTATGCTACGATCGACGTCCTGTTAAAGCACTGCCGTGAATGGAAGTACCACGTACCAGTCCACGCAAATCTAAAAGTCCCTATTAGTACAAACAGTAGTAATAGCCGACATCACACGTGCACAGATCGCATTTTTTGTATTCATGGTCTTTGAAACAAGTCGTATGACCAATCAAACACTAAACGCGTACCATTTCACCATTTATGCAACAAAATCTGAATTGGAAAGTGACGTAAACAGACTTATTTCTGCATTCACCATGGATCCTTCCAAAACAAATCTATTATTACAAATCCAATCCTCTTAACATCTACTTTCCAACAAATGACCGTTATAACACTCGCTGCATTTCCATCCGATAACAAAAAGAATTAAAGGCCAGATCTCAGCGCCATTGAAAGTAAAGGATTTTTCTCTGATTGTGAATAGAAAGGAAATCTTTGATGGGGCTCAGTGCTCAAGGGTTTTATTTCTATTCTCTCGATGTTGCACGGAGAGTGTGTCTAAGGCCAAAGTACAATTGCGTCGTCACTTCAGTGAGATTATATAAGTCGCGTTCATAATTTCTGCTGGCAGACGACATAACGTGAGCATAAATATGACTGTGTGTATAAATTGATATTGATAAAGCCTGCGCCTTCGTGAGTCCTGCATTCTGTGGATAACTGATGAAAGTGAATACTCGTTTGTTTCCTTCATCTATTACGTTCATTGAAGGATGACTGATAGGAGATGAAAGACGGGTTATTAAACAGTATTTCTGTGGCTTCGCTCCAAACATTCAACCTCGGCAAAGGATAACATTTGCATCCTCAACTCTTAAGTAAATTATTTACTGATGCAGCGGGCTGAGATTCGGGGCTGGTGAGTTCTTTTATGTTTCCACGATTTACCTGCCGACTCTTTTGTCCTAGGAAGACTAGCAAGTGTTTGGTAAACCTTTTTCGTTGGTGGCTGAAGATTGTTTAGTGTTTACCAAGCCCTCCAGTCTTCATGCAAACGCATACCTAACGGGAATGAAGAACTTACTGTTTTCATAGATTTAAGAATCCTTAGAAATGTATCCCAAACTGTTGAGTATTGATATTCATGGAAGATTCTTGAGGATTGTTAATCTTGGATAATTCTTTTGAAATCTGAGGTTCTGTTTGGAGGAATGGAGAGGGGTGTTAGCCCGGGGCGCTGGGCGCATCGAGTCTTTGTGCAGCCACCTCAAGAGGACAGACGACAAGGAAATAAGTGGATGGAGCGGGAAAGAAGACAGCTTAGTAATTCTAATGCTTCTCCACCATCCGTCGCTACAACAAATACACATGAGCGAACGACAGACCAAATCAGTTTCACTCATGGACGGCACCAGAACAGTTGTATTAGAAATGACGGAAAATCCCCACGTCTTCAACCAAAACCACCATCATCGCCATCCTCATCATTGTCGTGTTCGACATCGATAACCCCTCGACCCACTGCTACCCGCGACATCAGGGATAAAGGGTCAGACGACATAAGCAAACATAATTCATCACGGGATGCATTAACTAA